CTCTACAAGAGATTTAGATTTATGAATATACCTTCAATAATAATTTTCTAAGTCTTTGAACGTGGCAATATCGAAGTAATCCAAAATTTCCAGTAAATGTAGTCAGGGTTGGCGATTGGGTTTCGGAGATACTATTCAAATACAATAAACTAGTGAAATAATAACATTATGAGGAACGTAGGAACTCAGGATCTAACGGAAGATAGATAATGGATGCACCAGAGCCATTACAGACAATTCTGAGCCGCGTCATTCAAAGTTTCTAATTATCCGTTATTTTAATCTCGTGGATTTCACCAGGTAACTCACACTTTTAATCATTATTCAGTCCGATTGCCAATGACTTCAAAGACTGGTTTAGAGGCCGCTAACTTTCTCCCAACCTACACCTACTCAAGACATCGCCTGTCGAGGTAGGCGATGAGAAGGCATACGTAACTTATGTCCGAACCCTATCAGTTGATGGAGATATACTGTTTCATCAAGCGATTTGCCACCTTTGCCAAGAACCCTATGCCTAAACCTTAGCATTATCTATTAAGCAATTCCAAAATGTTCGAGGAATGCTTCGAAGAAAACTGTAACCAGACACAAGGAAATTATAAATGTCCACTATTCATAATGGCCACGTTTTACACCCATGAAGTAGAACAGAGAGAACTGCTGCACAGTTTGCTTGTCCTTTGGTTGGGAGACAAATGTCTTGCATACACCACAAAGGACAAAAGTTGAAAAGCTAATTGAGCTTTCTGAATCTGTGCCGACATTTTGCCAGACGCCCGACCATCATGACCGGTGAGACTCCCAAAATAAGTTAGACAATCGATACGCCCAACTACATTAAGTAACTAAGTATGCCAGTCTTGAAGCAACATTGTGAATTTGGAGGAAAAAATTAGCATCAAGAATATCCCTGCATTGTTGATTATGGTCATCAGATGACTGCATTTTCTCAGCTTCATCGTCAAACATAACTATATCATCTGTGTATTCCAAGCCAACAAGTGAATCTTCTGAAAATTCAGACGATGTCTATGATAAAGTTAAATAACACTGGAAAACTGACAACCCTGACGAACACCATTTGAAATTACCAATTTCAATGACAGTTTGCCATAAACTCTGACTCGACCAGCAGTTTTGAAGCAGCTAGTCTTCGTATGATTGATGTTTTTCTATGGTACTCATCTCAATGACAGTCACTATCGTAATATCTCACGAGTAACAAAACTGAATGCTACCTTAAAGTCAAGAAATACAATTAGAGTCGAACGTCGTAATACGTACAATACTAACTGACTCATAACCATTTTATATTAGTGTTGATTTTACATTCAACTAACGAACCAAAATCTTGGGTGCAGATTCATGATAAAGGGTTGCTTGAAAAGAAATAATACATGTTCATTTTATTATTCACTAGTAAGTGCATCTATAGGAAAAAGTAGTGATTTTTTGTTAGAGTAAACGCACTTTGAACATGTATAATTCACATCTTAAAAGTTGAACGTGAATATTTTAAATTTTGAAAATGATCGTGTTCGATATGGTTTAGATAAGTTTTAAAAGACTATTGAGCATTTTAATTGTATCCGTGTAATATTCGCAATAGTATAGTGCCTTATTTGAACACACAAACACTATTACGAGGGGGGACCAAATACATGTGTGCCACATACTAACAGTGAGGTTTTGAATGGAGGGGTGAGTATAACAAAAAGACCAAGAATGAACAGAAATTAGTGTATGAGCTTGAAATAATAATAATAATAATAATAATAATAATAATAATAATAATAATAATAATAATAATAATGGGAGTTCAGTTATGAAAAATACTACGCGAAAGAATTCTTTCTATTAAAAATTACGTTCAATTAAATAAAAAAAGTTACAGAAGGATAGCCATTGGTTTCTATTCTGAGCCATTTTCAATAAAGTCTCAGGCTATTGTGTTGCTATATTTCTAGGACCTCAACCAGGAAGTCGTGAAGGTCCAACAAAAGTCAGTTTTGAACAGCTTTCTTTCATACCACGACATCATGTCGTGCACTGACCACCACTTTGCTTCTTTTAAACAGTCCGAGAGTCGGCAAATAATACACAATGTGCAACCCGCTGGGACGGTATTCGTAGGACATATCCAAGCCACCAAAGTCGACATTTCAAGATGGTGACACCAATTGAATTATCTATGCTGTGACAGAATACAAGTAACTGAACTTCTGCATTACCAACATGATGTTACCACTGGATGTCAGCAGTCCGTAAGAGACAACGATAATCAAACACTTAGCACTCCCAACTCAAAGAGGCCAGGCTTCACAAGTACAAAGCACAAGTGCTCTCATCGTCGCGTTTTCGATCCGACCGTTAATAGCCAGACTAACAACACCAAGGTACCAAGAATGGACCATATTAGTATAGATCACTATGGCTTTTACTATACATAAACTGATCTCATCACTGGCAGCTACCTGAATACAAGAACTTCTCAAATGCTTCTATCTCCTCACTATCAAGAGTGAGTGTAGGTCAAAGGTCCTACCGATCTTGTAAAAGTACTTTGCACTTCGAAGGTGAAAAGAACAAAAGGACACAACATGCAGACAATAAAAATCAATGTCAAGACATTCTGAAGACATAGCTAGCCAGTTCGAATGGTATACGTGGTTTCAGAAAGACTGTCTCAGTATTCGTATTAAGTGGTAGTATTCAACCTCCAACCAGTTAGTGACATGAAGTCGTTTAGACACGACAGGATTTTCACCATAGGCGAGCTGCTGAATAAGTTCAAAAATAAAATATACACAAAATGAGAATAGAAGGGAATAGACAAGTAATGTAGTATTAATATATAAAAATGAGTGTTGACAAATGATTGTGAATGTGATTTGTCAGATTGAGAATTGAAGCGAGAATACATTTTTTCAGTTACAATCATCATTTGATCTGTGTGTGCGCTGGGATACTTCCCGGTTGCCCAAACCAAAGCAGATGGTTTTCTTGGAGGTCAACTCTAAGAGCCTTTGACCTAGAGGCCTAATCTAAGAAGGCACCAAATACGCAGTGGGGCCAGTAGCAGTTACCAACATGTTCAATAACTCAATCAAAGATCGACAAGCAACCCTTTCAGGTTACCGCCAACTGTATTTATAAATTTACGTGTACCTGCCAAAGCAGCTACATCGGCCGAACTGAAAGGAGAGCATATCTTAGACTCTTTGAACATGTTCCAAAAAGTCTTAGAACAAGGGAAAGGAAGACTCTGAACAGTGCAATCACCAAACATCTCCTTGATACAGGACATCAAGTAGATACCTTGCAATCCTTTAGGGTGATTAGTAAGCAGCCAAACTCCAGTCTTCTGAAGTTTGCTGAAGCCATTGCCATCAGGCGTCAAAAACCTGACCTATATATTCAAAAGGAGACGGTGGTTAATCTTTCCTTGCCCTGGTGACAAATATCCCTTCACTGCACCATAAAATTTTATTTTTTCTCTTTTGCGTTTATTACATCATTGACTCTATTTTATTATTTTTTTCAACTATCTTTCAAATTAATAATCTTTCAACTGAACTCTACTCACTACATTCCTTCAGTGTTCATTCATTATATAATCGATTGTTTCTAACCCACTTTTGAACTGTTGTCACAATTAATGTTGTAGAATATTCTTTCACATTAGGTATATATTTACAATGTTCAGTTAGCAATTTAAACCCATTATGTAATTATGATTTTTAAATATCACAGGTTGTAAGCAGCTGACGAGAACCTACGAAATAAAATGAATTCATGCTATTCTGCTAGAATCTTTGTTCTTGCTCTTTTCAAAATGATAAAGGGAACTATGCGTATGAAATACCATTGATTTGTATGAAGACTGTGACACCACCCGGGTGTCCAGATCGAAGCAGGTGATTTCCTTAACGGGCCACATCCCGAGCCTTTGAGCTGTAGGTTTAATCCACAAGGCAGTGAAGCAACGTTAGGAGATGTGGTCTTACGGAAGCTGGTGATCAATAATTGATTCATATGCCATTAGTTTCTTCAGGATCATTGAGTTCATGTGCACCATTGGCTTTGAATTAGAGGTGTACCACTTCTTTACGTGGACCCTCCATGTCCACCAACCCGGTTCATGCGCCAAACATTCGCTTTTCGTCCCATTAATTTCGTAACAACACCCTCGTTGCGAGAAGGCAGTGGCTGTATTCTTATGACCATGTGAGAACACTTCGAGAGGGAGCAAACTGTAAACATCCTTGGCCGTACTACGACATTTGAAGGCCAATCTTGTTCCACTACCAGTAGTGCTGTTACTACTTCTATTACACAGGAATACGTTTTGATAATTTCATCTCACACATATACTACATGTTCCACGCTACTTGAGATTGACAACACAACTAATCTATATCCCCCATCAGCTATGCAGGAACAACATTTCAAAGCCGTTTTATTGTTCACGTTTGGTATATTCACTCTCAAACTAGTTACTGAAGATTCGGGTGTAAACCGTAATCGCTAATTCAAGATAGAACAATTATACGTGATCAGTTCAACCATTTACTTTTTTATTCACATAGAGTACAACTCAGCAAATACATGAATCAAACAAACAGGAGGTTTGAACTCTGAAACTAGATATCGACTGAAATAAGCAGAACTTCATGAAAGGGCAGATGTAATCAAAAAGTTAAATGTTTACCTACTGAAATTAATGAGACCCTATTATTGAATAGTTAATTTGCATAATAAAACGTGTATGAGAGTAATAAACTCCCAGCCATAGTCTTAAACATAATTAATGATGGAATATTTTAAATTAATAAACAATTGAATCGAAAACAATCCGTGATATGGAAGAACTAACCAGTGGTTAGTTGGAACTAAACGTTCAACTTCAAGGGAAAAACAAACAAAACACATATTTATCTTTTTAAATGTTATATGCAAAATATTATTGATTTTCATAGAATACAATTGAATTTTCCTCATGATGGATTTCGACACGCATTTAATAGTTCATCACAAATAGTTTTTGCATCGCCCAATAGCATTTCAGTATTTTCTTTAAAGAATATAGGATTATCAACTGCCGCATAGCCAACGCCTAATGTTCGCTTGACAACAACAACCTAGAAAAGTTTTGATTTCATAAAACAAGGGAAAGTAACGGACAATTTGGTTATTTGTAATATAATTAGTAGTACTATAGTGAACGAAAACATAGGTGGGGTGAACTAATTTATCGTTTAACGCAAAATAACACAATGGGTTAGTTAAATATGAAATACATACAGTAAATACAGTATTTACACAATATACTTTGTGTTGTCTTTTACATACTCCATTATTCCTCTAATTCTTGTGTTATTTCGATTGCTCTCAGATTTCCTTTATGTTCTTTTCATTACAATCTTCTGCTGCCAGCCATTCAACTTCCGGTTGATACTACATACTACTTATATCTATCAGTATAAGTAGCTCGCACCACAGTACGTAGTTAAGTGTACACTATATGTATGCTATCAGTAGTAGTATCAGTGGGACGTGTAGAGGAATAACTGTTATGGTGATAACTTGAGATGATTTATTGAGTCTACTGTAATGAACAAAGATTCAGGTGGGAAACAACCAAGCTATCGTTACAGAATATCTTCGTAATATATGAGAACCATTCAATGAATACTTCATTTACAAATATTCCATTAATTGTCCTGCACATTCTGTATGATTCTTTCACATCAAAATTCTTTTAAATTTCACTTTCTGTTTTCTGCAACTCGATCTTATTAGCTTTCAGCAGCCAGGCACTCCTCTTCTGATTGGTGCTACATGCTACTTATGTTGAAAGATATAAGTAGCATACACCACACTACTACTATTATAATAAATAGAATTTCAATAAGAATCTTAGTCAATATCTTTGGATTGCATTGAAGAAAGTTTCAAACTCCGATAAAACTACGATATTCACTGAAACGTTTGCAATTTTATCGGTAAATTAGATTGAATATGTTGATTCATTTTCTAAAATATTGAGAACATTTCATATACAGTTGAATCTCTCATTGCTAGTCAAACGACAGCCATTTATTTATTTTGGTAAAATGTACTATGTAAATATAATTGGTCAACACATCACATAATGATTTTTAAAATGAATTCTATAGTTTTCTTGAAAGTATAAGAGTAATGTGTATCCATCAATGTCAACAGTTCCTAAGCAGCAAATACTATGAAAATCAAATAGTTCTCATCTAATGTCAATACAATCAGCCTATCAAACAAAAAGGATATTTTATTGACAAAATTACAATGTTATTCACTTATTCGAATTATTAAAAGCGTTATTTCACAGAAAGGAATGGATACGTACTACCGATATACTAGAAGCAGAATTAATGAACATTAAAGAATCCTTAAAAAACAACAGGTGTCCAAAGAAATGTGCTGAGAAATATGGAAAGAGTATAGACAAAACGCCTGAAGATACCTCAGTAGACAAAAAACCTGATTTCACTCAACATGAATTCAAATGTGACTATGTTGCAGCGACAATAAGCAAAAGATTAAAAACTACAGTGATCAGAATGTATTTTGCAGTCAAGCCGATTATCTTGTATAAAACAATAAGTTATTTACTTCAATTAAAGATCGATAGGTACACCTATCATTTTACCACCAACTGCATATACAAATTTACATGTGCCTGCCAAATTAGTCAAACTGGTAGAACAGAGAAAAGAGGCTATGATCGATTGCAAAAATGTATGTCAAAAAGTGTCAGGTTAGTGGGATTAAAAACTTCAAACACTGCTATTAATTCATTGTTCTTGCTCTTTCTTCAAGATAACAATGTTATTGGTGTATTTCAAGTTTTTAACACAGCTAACATAAAACTCATTATATCCTGAAGAAAAAAACTAAACGTAATGTTGAATGAAATAGGTTAATTATCTCCTCTTTAATGACTCGATAATAATCATTACCGATCATCATTAACAACAAGCATGAGATTTCAATGGCAGGATTTTCCTTCGACTGTTTTAAATAGGATAAAATAGCTTATTAGAATGAAAGTTTGAGTTAGTCTGTTTTGTTTTTATTCATTAAATGTCATTGTTATGTGATTAGTAAATTCATCATCAAACGGTTGATTGAAAAAAAGAAGGAATATTCAAATTTTATTTCATTGCTGATTACTATCATTTGAAGAAACAGGTATGTTGGAGTCTCATTGTAAGCATGGAACTTTTAGATTATGACATAATATTTCACATTTCTTATTTTAATTGATTCCTTATGTAAACTGACATTATGTAACATTGATGTGTGACATTTCAACTTCTGATATAACTGAACAATGATGAAAACTAAATTTAACACATTAATGAAGAATATTTTTTTCAATTAAATAGTTAACAGGTTTACTCTAATATACATATTTATATGAAGCTATTAAACTAGTCAATAAGTACACTGAAATAGAATAGATAACTACATATAAAAAGTAGAAAGTACAAATTGATAATAAGAGGTTATGTATAGTAATGGTAGTGGTAAGTATAGTGAAATAACCAATGTTCTAGTCAGCAGTGCAATGTAGGAAGTAGATTAAACTTAGAGGAATAGACTTCAAATTCATTACCACAAAATACCATTAAAATTACATAACAAGAGGTGTGTGTAAATAATTGGTTAGTAAGGAAATATAAGCAAAAGAAGATGAAAAATGACAGATGGGATGTTAAAAAATTATTAAAATCATTTACTAGGTCATATCCGGCCTACGAAGGAGCAAGGGTGTCGTGAATTCTTTCTGTACACATAAAATGAGATTAGAGGTTCGAATATCTATAGCTTCTGCTATATGTAGTAGACGAGATCGAACCCCAATGGGAAATGATGAAAGTATACGATAGACTGCTTGAAATGATTTGATCTTACCTACTATCTGGTTTCTGTCAACTAGGTGTATCAAGATAGAACGAAGTATTGTCTTTGCCTGGCCCCTTCCAAACCAAACTGAAACATGTTCACTCATTCGTTAGTTAAGCTGCATGATAGTGCTCCACATTGAGCAAGCCAACTCAAGTAACTTATCCTTTGTTTGAGTAAATATCACTGGTCTACTGGAAAATATCAACGCAAAATTAGCAGCGCAGAATATCCAATTAACTACTCTTGCTAATCTATCATAAAGGACATCACTAGTCAGATTTTTGTCGAATCGTAGCTTTAAGAACAGAGGTTTCTTACGAGTGGTTAATATCTCCGGCTTATTTTTCCCTGAATACATGTCATTTACACAATAGGAATCTTTGATATTTTAACCTCTACAAGCCCCATTAAAACGAATGCATGGCTAGATAACTCTCTAAGAATATAAACAGTACCAAACATCAGTCTGTTTAATAAACTTTTAAACAATTCAGAAAATTACTTATTAAACCTCTAAACCGATAGAATAAATTCAATTAATAGATGAAAATAATTCAATCGAACTTATATTCCAAGATCTACACATAACAAAAAGTACCTACAATGAATTAGATAAAACAGACTTAAGTCCCCGTCACTTGAACATAGTACTATATGTCAACATTAAATAACTTATTTAACAAGCAATATTTATAATAATAATAATAATAATAATAATAATAATAATAATAATAATAATAATAATAATGATAATAACAGACCTTTTTAGCCAACCATACACGTAGAACAGGCATACCAGCTATTATAGAATTGGGATCTTCTTCAGCTGCAGAATTAACAGTATCATTTGCTCCAATTACTAGTACTAAATCAGTTTTTGAGAAATCAGCATTGATTTCATCCATTTCATGAACAATATCATATGGTACACCAGCTTCAGCCAGAAGAACGTTTAATTGTCCTGGCATTCTTCCTTTAAATTTTAAAGTGATTTAAACATCATTAAGTTTTAATAGTTTGAAATGATGTTATTTAGTAATATCTGTACAACGTGATAGGGTGATTTTAAATTGTACGGTTATTAATGTTAATGATGGCAATTGATCAATCTGTTTTCACATACGTGCATTTTGTAGGGTTCAACACCGTAAGGGTTTAAACTAACAATAACAAATGAATTGAAATTGACCACGGTCGCACAAGCTAGGTGTTATCTGAACTCAGTTGCTCAATGGATAATGCATTTAAATTTTGAAGTGAAAGGTACTGACTGAATTAAAGTCTTGATGTGAACGTTAATACTGAGAAGCAGATATATCCAGCTGACGAGTCAAAGATAGGATGAAACGACGCGCATCCTTGATTCCACTAGTAGTTACTATTTAACTCTGCTTATAAAATGACTACATAATTCTTTTACGAATCTTTTCTAACTTCTCAAGTTGTTTTGCTCTTGTCTGAATTATATTTATTTGCTATGAAGTAAACTGATATATTTACCGCCAGGAAATAGTATGCTAGTTATATGTAAGTCGCTGACTACAAGATATTGTTTTATTCCGCTTGTTGTCTGCACAAGCTACATGTTGACATTAAAAAACGTTAATGAGACAATTAAAAGTTATGAAACTAAGATGTGATTGATAACTAGTATTATGTATACTTTCTATTAAATAAACTTACCAGCAACAGGATGTATAGCAAAACGTACATGTTTACCGCGTTTGATTAATTCTTTAGTCAATTCTGCCAATGGATATTGTGCTTTAGCAACACATAAACCATAACCAGGTGTAATAATAATTTCATTAAAATCATTTAAATAATTAGCAACGGATGAAACATTCGTCTGACGATGAACACCTAGAGATATATATTAAATAATGGTTAGGAACTAAGTAGATTACAACTTGAAACGATTCACGATTATGGCCACATCAATAATAATAATAGTGATAGTCATGATTATAATAGTAATAATAATGGATGTATAAAATACGATATAACTGTATTCATAATGAGAATTTTCACATTGACATAATGATTGCAAGATAAACACGAGGAATAAACTACTATGTGATGTAAACGAAAAAATACATTGGTGGTCCTTGGATAACCACAACTCTCTTTTATTCAAAAATAAAAATAATTTCAGTGTACAGGACCTATGAAACTAACTTACAGGATCTAATGTAAACTGATTCACCAAAAACAGTTTGAAATACTGGTTATTATAATAAATCAGTTGTATGCTTAACTGTTAGTCATAATCAATATAAAAACTTCTATAAATATGCATCGAAGCAGGTTGAGTGCATTCCACATCGGTACAGTGAACAAATGAAAATAATTTGGTTAAATTAGTTGTAGTGATAACCAAATAGAAAATATTTTTCAGATGAACGAATGAAATCAACGAACAAGGTATACAAAAGAGAATTACAACTCAAGATTAGAGGGACCAAGCATAAATGGATCTGCTCCAACCCAACAGATTTTCAATCATGTCACTGGAAGTCTTCGGTCACTATTTACTGTAATCCAACGGAAATCAACTAGGAATCGTGGATTTTTAGAGATGGATTGGAACAGCAGTTAGTGACCTTAAGGACTGATCTTTAAATCTTACGTTCGCCAACTTTACTTTAATCATTAATTTTTTCTTGTGGTAAGCAACGATCCGGCATGTGTTACCCGTGTTATACCTATCTCAGCCGATGAGGTATGACAGCAACATTAATCCACTTACCAAATTGAGGTACCTGTCCACTCCTCATTCGATCTCAATCACTTCGGGTATTCCAATTCGTGATACTATCAAGACCCAAACTAGTGAATTAGATGGTAATCTAAAAGTTCAATGCAACATCAGGTTGTATTCATAATCATTGTATTGTTGAAGTTATACACAAGATGACACGTGGGTAATAAAATGTCTATAAACAAAAATAACTGTACATAGGCACATTCGCGTCTTAACAGTTTGGTAACATGTGACATTTCTGAGATAAAACACTGTATTAACAAATAATGATATCTGTCAGACCAACCATTTAGTTCATGGGAAAATTAATGTATTGTTTTACTTTTTCTCTCAGGCAGACAGAGATTATCAACATAAAGCCTAGTACAGATATACGATAACTCAATTTGTTATACTGGATTAGAATGACGAGATGTAAATAATACAATCGACCGAAACAACATAGAAATGACGAAAAGAAAGAATAAATCGCGGGAATGTGATGTCAGAAGACAGTGAAGAGGCGAATATGAAGAAATAATGGACGTCAATATTGGAAGGGAAGATAAGGAGTGAGTGCACCTGCACTACAGCGAACTTCGAGACATGTCATACAAAGCCTGCAACCAACAATTGCAGTTATCACGCGGATCCCAGCCAGATAGTTAGCATCTACCCACATCACTTAGACCAACAGTCAATGAATTCATGGTCGTTATCAACTTTCTTCCAACATTTCTCAATACTAGCAAGCATCCCTTGTTCATGTAGACGGAGGTTCGGCATATGTTTACATTACTTCAGTCAATGAAGACTCACTACCTCACTAGCGGGTTTCTCATCTTTGTCAAGTACCCTAGGTCTCAGCATTTTTCACTTACGTATCTCAAATATAAATGCCCAATAAAGTTTTGCAGATTGTAATACACCCAGTTCATTGACTTGAACACAAACAATATCAACAACTGTTGAGTTACAAGTTTAGAATCCATCTTATCTAATTAAACGTAAATCGTTAAATTATATCCTTATTCCTCAAACAAAAAAGATGGTTCGATGCAAAAATTTAAAATCTTGTAATCTAATTAAATATGCCTAATACACCAGCTGCACCAACAGTAACTTACCTGTAATAGCCATAGATTTTCCACCGGAATATGAAGAAGTTCCATAACCCCCCAATATCACATTGGGTAATGAACGATTCATTGCTTTACACATAATATAGGATAAAATTGCACCACTTGAACCAATCAATGCACCAACTACAGTCATTAAACTATTATTCAGCATAAAACCTTCAGCACATAATGCCCAACCGGAATAACTATTTAATACAGTTATTACAACCGGCATATCTGCACCTAAATATTTTCAATCGTAAAATCAATAATAATTTATTATTATTAATGGCATTATTCAATATTATATTTCTGTTACAGTATAGAATTCTCAGTAAATTTGTTTATTTTAACATATACATACTGGTGCAAGGAGGCACCAAATAGATATGCGCCACACAAATCTCATTTGATATGTGTGAGGGCAGTGATACTGTCCGGGTGCCCAGACCGAAGCATGTGGTTTTCTTAGGAGGCCATATCCGAAGCCTTCGACCTGAAGGTCTGATTCACAAGGCAGTGGAGCATCGTAAAGAGATGCAGTCCCATGGTAGCCGGTGACCAACATTGGTTCATACGCCATTTGTTCCCTCAGGATACTGGAGCCCATGTGCACCATTGGTTTGGAATCCGGTTAAAGCGCCGGACATTCGCTTTTTGTCCTCTCAATTTCGTAAACAACACCCTCGCCACGAGAAGGCAATGAGTAGGACTTCCCTGGCAGAGGCCATAGACGCGTGGCCATATGAGAGCATTTCGAGAGGGAGAGCGGACTCTCCTCACTCTCGACCGTACCAAGGTATTTGGAGGCATTTTCAGCAAAACGTATTTCAACAAATTTCCTTTTCTTATTTCTTGATCAATCCTCACGATTAAAACTGAGTGGTCACCAGTCACATTTAAACAATTCAGGATTCTACATCTGAATCATGTTCATTCAAATCCATGCATGCATTTTGTCATCCACCACGATGTCTCTGTTTGTATCTTGATGTGACATGTACAGTGAAATGTTGTATACGTTTTACAAACGCGCCTGAATAGGTTATGTGATTAATAGACATAATGGTGTGTTAAAACAAACACAAACATATAACTTTTCTGAAATATCTAGATGGCTGGAACAGGTAGCCCAGATATTCGAGCAGGCGGCCTCCAGTAACTGTGTACACATAAGTGGTAAATGAAACAGTTTTACAAGAATATATAATTATATGTTTTAATAGTTAAGAGTACGGGTTTACTAGAAGTTAAAAACACACCGTAACAACGAAGGCTTACAAAATGATTCACTATCAAAGTAAAGGTTTGTGTATTCAGCACATGACCTTAATGGAAAATAGTGATACTTTTAAGATGGTCAAAGTGGAGTGAGAAGACAGATGTGAAGTCGCCAAATGTAAACATAGTCCTACTCAGTAAAATACATTACATTATCAACGAACAATGTGAAAGATAAAATCAAGTATAATATAACTAAATGGTTAACAAAATAAGAGTAATCAAATGATCACCTCCAATAGCAGCTGTTAAAGTCAAACCAGAAATTCCACCAGCAACACCAGCTCCCCCAATAAGTAATCCAAGCCCAGGTAGCACAGATTCAGGACCAAGTGAAAGAAGACCAACAAGACATCCACCAGACAGTGTTACTAAACTAGCATTCAACGTATTCCGCATCGGTAACAGCAGTGGAGTTGATTTTAAAATACCTGAATATAGAAGCGAAATGTAATGAATAATAATCATAATATTCAGGATGAATTTACAATATCTCCGAGAACAATAAAAAGAAATGTGAATAAATTAAAATATTTTAATACAAAACTTTCCAACGAGAATTGTTGCAACCAGTTTTTCTAATCATAAACAATCAAATATCTCAAATTATTCAATGTATATTGTTAAATATCTTCCAAATATGTCGTGTAATATTGTAGCACAAGTCCAATGAATGATAAACGGTGCAAAACTAGATAGTCAGTTTGGATAGTTCAAAGAACTCCCTAATACTCCGACTATAAACACAAAATTATTATACAAGCTTATTTTCATAACTCTTTGCATTATTTTCAAATCACCAGATGACTTTGAAATAGGAACTTCTCCATATTGATCTGGTTTTAAAAAATTCAGTCCCGCAATTTATTACTAAAAGTAATTGTAACACGAAGCCAAATTTCTTTATCATAATACAGTTAAAAAGAATTTAACTCTAACAAGCAAATGGCTTATCGGATCCCAAACTAACTGATATTTTTTTGAGTTTGTAAACAGCTCCTTTGTATAAAGAGATAGTAAATAAATTGGAAAAGATGAGGGGATGGGGTTCATAGATTAAGATGACTGGTGAATGTACTCCATATGTTCAACCGCCAACCAACGAACGCATATTTCCTGATATAGAAGTAGGTTGGAAGTTACGGGTGCCCAAACCAAGAAATGGTATCAGACCATAAAGAAATTGTTTGTTGGCCTGAACCATATTAGCAGGTTCCGTCTAGTTGGTTAGTATCTGCACAGCGATCGTGACAAATGGTTGGATTCTTTAAGTAACACGGCTCATAACCATTCACAATGGCACAAGTAAATTCACTCTCTGTTTTTTCTTAGCTCTTGAGTTTTTAAATTAACTTTTATCTAAAAAAATCCAGTTTTTCTAGTCTAATCATTTTATCTAGGCCAAAAATTTCCTACTACCACTACTACCGACACTCTTACTAAAGTGAGGGAAAACCTGTTTATTGTTTAATGCACAATCACACAGTGTTCTAGTAAAATGTGTAAATTGTACATCAAATACATCATTTGCACATCTTTGAATAGTCTCTTACAAGCTTGATTGTCCCCTCATTCCTGTTGTTATCTTGCTTGCTATCAGTTTCCTTCTCTCTTCATTTTAGTCTCCTCAACCATCTACTTACAGACATGACACTTCAGAGCGGTGTTACATACTAATTATATCTGCAAACATAAGGAGCATACACCACATTACTACCGTTGCAAGTATGGCATTTACTGAGAAAAATTGATCTCGTTGTGTGGATGAATTGTTTCACATTATTTTCCAACTAACTGACTGGCACAAGTCACAATAGCTCGTTAAACATCATTTTCTAATGGTTTTCTCTATCCTTTGGTAGTTCACCCAGATTAAATGAAAACATAAACAAACTTAGAGTAATGGATGAAATATAAATCAAACCTGTTAGTGAAATTACATTTCCTGACCTACTTCGATTTTCAATTTAAGAACTTCATAATTACTGAAAAACAATATTACTAACCTTGCAGTTTACCAAAAGCTATCAATGATCCAGTTAATGTAATGCCTCCAATATATGTGCCTAAATATGCCACAGTTTTCATAAGTTGTAATGCACCATAGCAATTCGGATCCGAAATTAAATGAGGCATTTCAACCATATAGTTTGCAATACATGTAAGTACAGCAGCGGCACCGACTAGACTGTAACATTCCAATATTAAAGTAAAATGTTTAAACTTCACTGAAATCATGCATTATGTTATGAATCAAGTTGTTATTTCCTATTAACACATTAGATAAAGATTTATTATCTATAAGTTTTCTGTACCGTTGAAATATAACTCATTTTACAAAATAACATAATGATTAGACATATCTTACGTACTTGATTCCACCAAGTTCACATGAATATGTATTGCAGGAGTAGAAAGGAAAGTTTTGTTTAAAAATAATTCAAGATCAATAGATATAATTGGAAAGTATAAACTTCAATAAGGTGAATGAGACTATTACTACTCCCTACTTCTTTGCCTCACTGACTAGAGCAAGAAATCAATTGCTGTATCGACGCTTGCTGGTTAAGACGCACTAGACTCACATATACATCTACGATATTCATTTATATTGTCGATCACAACGATGACATTTAAGAACCTGAGTAATTACCAATAAAAGCAGATTGTAGTGAAAAAAAAATATTGAAAGTTAACGAGCAGAATTCACACTAAAAAATTAATGTAACAAAAGTTCGTCTTCCTCTTAAGTTTTATTTGGAGATTAACATCCCCCAAATGTTTTACACTCCGAACTGAGTTCAACTAAACTTCAGCGCAGAAAACTAGAGATCATTTGACAGCTATTTTGTTGTAGTATGAAATACCGTTAAAGAGTATGCTCATGACCTTGGCAAAGATTAAATACAGGGATTTCAGGCTTCGCTATCAGTCTCTTACCTTTAAACCAATTAACTGAAATGTGTGAAATTTTTACCATTGACTACCATAAAAAGATTTTGATCTGTCAGGTCTTCAGGTTTTGTGAAGAAAGTGCACTAAATCAGTAAGTTTATACAGTTTGGAGAGATCTCTTAGGGACTAAGGAATCTATCTGTCTTTCAGCCAGTAAGTTGCATGTTCAAATTTAGTTCCATCTAATTGGATTTAGGCAGTCAGATAGTATCATTAGCCCCTACATATTTAGAGGGTTATTCAAACTCAGATACATAGATTTATGACTGACAAGTTTCAAACAAACAATTTCACTGAATAAATATTTCTCAAAGAGAATTTCAACATCAAAATCCCAATAAATATGTACATAAATTATGTAAACACGAATGTTGATCCAAACCCTTAGATCATTATGCTAATCTTAAATGAAGTGCATTTAGCAAAATATGATTATAAAGAAAAATTTGATTTAAAGTAAAATTGAACATTGTCAATATGATGATAAAAATATAAAATCTTATTACTACTGTAAACAAACATGAAAACATCATCTATGAGTATTTAATTTCAATTATTCTTAAAGATTCAAGCTATGAAGAGTGATGAATATAAGATGTACCATGCAGTAACCTGTGACACTAACCAGAAAGCTAAGTAAAAAAAGAAACCTGTAAGACAAATTAACACTAAATCAATCATTTTGTACAGTATTCTCTACATTATATTCAGTTCATTTGATAAAATAAAGATCTGTAATGAAAAGTAGAATGTTGAAAGTTATCGTGAAGCAAATTTAAAAATAATTGATAAACGACCAGCCAGAAGAGGTTGTATAATAAAAAATAGAGTACAGATAAGATTTTAATGGCTCATTATTTGACTTCAGTTAGATCATATGATGATTGTTATCGAAATATACATTCCACCAGCCCTCGTATGTTTTTATCGACTTATTAAGAATAATGGATTGTAATAAGCCGAATATTATTATTATTATTAGCTTCATTCAATATTATAATTTTGATACAATATAGAATTCTCAGCGCAAAGTATTTCAACAAGTTTCCGTTTCTTTCTTGTTGGTCGGTCCTGGCGATAAATATTGAGGAATCGCCAGTTAGATGTTAGCAGTTCAGTGAATGAACATATGAATAATGTACATTCTTTTCGTTGTACATTGACAGCAACCATATTGTCTCTTATTGAGTTTTTTGTAACTTTGACAACGAAAGGTTGTACACTTTTCAGAAACACAGCAGAATAGGTTATGCGATTAATAAACATAATGATATATTAAAACAAACAACAATAGATAACTTGTTGAAATATCTAGATGGCAGGAACAGGTAGCCCAGATGCTCAAGCAGGCCGCCGAGGATAAATTTTAAATACATATATTTCATACACTCATTGACCCAAACAGTTAATCAGGGAAAAAAAGCGGAGAAAACGAAGCAAGATAGAACGAAGTAACACGCAGAAGAGAAGGCAAGTGAACCAATTCGTTTTGATCAAGCGTTACTCAATATATATAGTCAGATCAAAAAACAAGTTATAGACACATAATGGATATCGAGTGAGCAATTGACACATATACGATAATACAAAATCAGAGTTAATAATCGAATAATCAATAATATTCAAATGTCGCTTGAGAATAAAGAATAAATTGATCTATCGACAAGCTAGAATAACCTATGTGTGCTTGAAATAATACCAGCCATCACAAGATGAAATACTACAGGAAATAGGTTACCACTTATTCAACAATTCTTTCAACTTTAATTATGATCATGACGAGGTATTAATATTCATCAGATGTTGGAGATCACGATCATAACACTAATCAAATGAGATGCAGATTAAGAAATCAACTCGGGCTAATCTACTATACACAAAACTTTCCAGATCAAATTTCATTGTTTCACGCTGAACATAATCATAGTTTGAAACATAATTTAACATTTTTATCGAGTAAATGTATGATACTTACAAGACAACTTGAATGAACATTTATCTCTCGTATGTGTGCATAAGTTCTGAAGAACAGTTTAGATAATTAGACAAAATCTTTTAGATTAATCACAGTTACGCAAATAATTGAATGCACCCAAATTAGTTAGTAATCCATTAGATTAAATTTGTATTTCTAAAGTGAATTTTAAAAGAATTCTCATTTGTAATTATTTCAAAACTTATGTCTAAATATTAAATTACCTATGAAATAATGCAACCATCTGTGGTAGATCTGTAACTTGAATACGTTTAGCAGCAATGGAACCTATTAATGATCCACCAGTTAAACATGCTCCCATTTGAGTAAGTAATTCCAAATTTGGCTGTATAAGTCCTAGAGTAGATATTACTCCACTTGTTACACCAATCATACCCAAAGCATTACCTAGAAAAACAACAAAACATATGCATAAGTTAACTAAAATAAAACCTAATTAGGTTGACAAAGTGATAACTGATACGATGACTAACAATTAGTCATAACAATCAGATCACCTTAACTGATTAGAGAGTATGATCCATAAACTGATTTCCTTCAATCTCTTATGATATTTTACCATATTTATTCTATGTCAACATTTTATGTATAAACATCAACAAGGGCGGCCTGCTTGAGCATCTGGGCTACCTGTTCCTGCCATCTAGATATTTCAACAAGTTATCTATTGTTGTTTGTTTTAATATATCATTATGTTTATTAATCGCATAACCTATTCTGCTGTGTTTCTGAAAAGTGTACAACCTTTCGTTGTCAAAGTTACAAAAAACTCAATAAGAGCCAACGTGGTTGCTGGCAATATACAGAGAAAAGAATGCACATTATTCATATGTTCATTTACTGAACTGCTAACATCTAACTGGCGATCACTCAATATTTATCGCCAGGACCGACCAAGAAGAAAGAAACGGAAACTTGCTGAAATACTTTACGCTGAGAATTCTATATTGTACCAAAAATATAATATTGAATAAAGCTGCTGATGATAATAATAATAATACTGTGTTAAAAAATTTTTTTATCAGTCTATTGATCTTAGTACTTTTATTTCAAATCATTTGGGTGCTTAATTCAATAAAACATTATCATGTAAACCTATTACTCGGTCATAATTCATACAACCGAGTTCTCATTTATAGAACAAGATTCTTTCCATTCATTTCAACGATTGAAATTTCGTTCTTCATACCCATTAAACCAATCTCTATAATCATAATCATTATAAAAGCATAATTCTTATGAAATCTATTCAAAAAGTTGAAATGAATGGGCACTAATTGAAGATTAACCACACACAAAAAAACACAGCAAGAATCATACTATTTGGAAGGTTCCAACTTTGCTTTCATGACTAAACTCAAGTTCATAAATTCGATACATACTGATAGAATTTAAAAATTAAATTGTCATCATTTTGAAGAAAGAAAAAATACGAAACCGATGGATTTATTAAAAAGAATGAATGAACCCCTCCCATTTTTTTAAAAAATTACTAAGGACCCCTATGGTAGTTAAAGTATTAAATAGGTTTCTACGATACACAGTTAAACTTGCGATAAAGAATACGGTCTTCATTTTTTTACAACTACACTGTGACATATCGATGTTTTTCTTCCGATATCTAATTTGTATACTGATCAATATCAAACGTAAAAAGAAAACAGTTAAAAATACTGACGTAACAGTTTGATATGTATTTATTTAGGATAAATTACAAAATCTACCCTTTTTGTAACCAATTTCTTAAGTTGATTGTTAACTAACTTGAGAATCGCAATTTCTTAAAACCAACGAAACATCATAATTAAGAAGCATGGAAGAATTCATTTTCTTTTTAAAGAATTAAAATGTAAGTTACTGAAGAATTTTAGAATAGATCGTAATTGTTCGCGGGACATAAAGTGGATTAAAGCATGCTCAATGTACGATTGCTTTGGTACACGCTGATTGACTAATTCTTATCCAATCAGCACTAGTCGATACTTGGAGAACACTCGAGAATCTTCTCGTGTAAAAATTATAAATATACTAACGTTTTTCCTATTGTGCTTCTTACTTCGATTTAAACTTGTTATTTGGAATATAATCTCTTTTCTGTTCAACCGTGTTCTGATTTGGGGACTTGTCGAGTGAATCGGTGTCCGACAATACTAATCAATAGGAATAGCTTGATCATAACCGTAAGAAAGAGATTATAACAATAATTATTATCCAATATTGACTGATTTTGAATTGAGTCAATCATGAATACAAAACTTTTCTAAAGAACATCTAAGTAAATACTAACAATGTAAATGATACTAAAATTTACTATAAAATTTCTAGAAAACTACGACAACTAAGGTTATTAAAAGCCTAACAATATTGAAAGATAACGATTCTTTAAATTTCATAATTCTTCAGTAATCAGAATTTAAACATGGAAGAAAACAACATACCAACACGACAACGTTTTTGACTGGATAAAGCAGTCAATGCACCAATGCAGCAAAGTGAAGAGGCTAAGTATGTAGTTTGATGCATATCAGTTAATAATGATGGAGGCAGATTTAAAATACCATATCCATAAACGCCTAATAGTCCAGCCGCTGGAATGGTAAGTAAATAATTGTATTCTGGTAAGTCAGTGGGACGTTTAAACATATTCAACATTCTTTGAGTAACAACAAAACCGCCACCAATATTGATCGCTGACAAAAGAGTAGCTGATGCTGCCAAACTCTCAGGCACACTAGATGGATAGAAACCACCACCCATTAGAAGTAAACCTCCAACTGCTGTAATACCGGATATAGCATTAGTAACAGACATCAGTGGAGAATGAAGTGCTGAAGTTACTCCCCAGACTGTATGATAACCTAAATAATTGATAGTTAGAAAAAGATTTATTACCCATTAATCTAGGGAAATAATTACAATAGCTATAGAAAATTTAGTGGTAAACTCAAGTAAAGAACTAGATACTATGAACTAAACTGGTGACAGAAAGAATTCGAAGTACAGCTATATCAATTTAATATTCTTTGGTACACTACACAAAATGGGAATCACCAGGAAAATAAATGACAGTGAAAACATAAAACTGTATATAGGAAACCAGACAAATAAAATGAAGAAATATCAGTCATGCGTATTGAACAGCTGCCAGATGGAGTATCTTGGCTACCTGTTCCTGCCATCCAAATATTTCAACAAGTTATCTGTTTGCGTTTGTTTTAACAAATCATTATGTCTATTAATCACATAACCTATTCAGGCGCGTTTGTAAAACGTTTACAACATTTCACCGTACAAGTCACATCAAGATACAAACAGAGACATCGTGGTGGATGACAAAATGCATGCATGGATTTGAATGAACATGATTCAGATGTAGAATCCTGAATTGCTTAAATGTGACTGATGACCACTCAGTTTTAATCGTGAGGATTGATCAAGAAATAAGAAAAGGAACACTTGTTGAAATACATTTCGCCGAGAATTCTACATTGTACCAAAATAATAATACTGAATTATGCCGTTAATAATAATTATAATGAATAATATATTCAGTATACAACCTGATAAAATGTACCTTAGTCAAAGTTTTTATAAGATTGACACAACCGGATGAAACTATAAACATGAATAGCAAAAGGTATTTGAAATAACGTAGTAACAATGACAATAAGAAATACTAAACGTTGGTAACATTGTTCCAAATGACAGAATGTAAAAGCATATACGACGGAATATTGAAACTTAAGATTAAAATGAAGAAACGTTATGAACGGATAGGTAAAGTTAGGGTAGAATTTTTGCAATCAAAGAAAATTAGGAACTCCAAACAACTGTCAGTCAACAGCACAGTCATAATTCTCAATACAAACAATAATATAGTTCGATTGTACAAAGCCCAATCTTGGGGAACTACTACAACCATCACCAAACAATTACATGTACTTATAAACAGTTTTCTACGGAAGACACTCCAGATCTATTGACCAGAAACCATCAGCAATAACCTGTTATGGCAAAGAAAAAACCGATTTCCAGTTGAGGAAATTCGGAAAAGGCACTGAAGGTGTATATATAGCATTTGACGGAAATCACCAAACTGCACCACAAATCAAGCTTTAACTTGAATTCCTCACGATAAAATGAAAAGAGTCAGACCAAAGAACACGTTGCACTGCGAATCGGAGGCAAGCATTAAAAGAATGAACAGAACTTGGCAACAACTGGAAAAGATGATGCAGGACACAGTTGGTTGAAGGATCCTGCGCTATGCTCAACGAGAGGTAGCAGGAGTAAGTAAGTAGGCAGTTAATGTATTCCTACGATTGTAAATGATTTTGAGTGATGTTACAACCAACCACTGATCACGATTGTTGCGTGGACACGTACATTTACTAACATGACTCAGAGCAACAGACTAATAGTTTTATGGGCTGGTGCCATGTTTTGGTTTCATCATCTGTAACTGTATTCCAACCTATTTCCACACGATAAACGAGCATTTGAGTCAGTCAGTCAGAAACAACGTAGAACTTCGTACGTATGTACATCAGTTCGAGTTGCCATACCACATTGGGACAAAGATGCAGTTATCTATTCAAGTCCCGTAGTGGTAGAGGTAGTAAGAGTATAAGCAGTAATCCGAAAGATTAGGGTTTGAAGATGTGAACAACCAAATCATATGCTTTTAATGTCTATCATACGGAGTTTACCAAAATTCTGTCAATTATTTATCTTTTTGCACGAAGTACTATTAATAAATAAAACATAGAACACAAATTACTTACCTACAATACTCGAAAGGCCGAATGTTGTTAACATAGTAGTAAATGCTGAAGAAGGTGAATAAAGACCTAGTCCAACTAAACCACTTAAGCAAACCGACGTCGATATAGCGGAACGAAGTTTATTTTTAAAGACAGATGAGGAATCTTCAGGTTGCAATGCTACACTGCTTCCAGCTTTACTTATTTGTTTACTACTAATTAATTTTGATGGTGATTGCGGTTGAGAACGTACAGGTGGAGGCCACATAAGTTCTCCCTTGATCAAAAATACAATGCATCACATGGATGCGATAGCAGTAATGAAAAATACAGATGAAAGTAATTTTTTAATGTTTTGAAACAAGAATGAAAAGTTATTAAAAGAGTGAAGTTGAAAATCTAACTCAATACACAATAACTGTCGTTAACAATTAACGATTGATGTGAAATACCAGTGGCGAGACTAAAACTTATGGACGAACCAATCACGGATAAGATAAAGGTATCGGATTTTGGCACGAAATTCACTAAACCATTTGGTTAAATAGAGTTTTGTCATCATACCTGATGCCATTTTGTGATGAAAACCCTAAATCTAATTCTTAACATTAAACATCAACTGTAAATTATAATTCGAATTCGTCATACAAATTTGTAGCCTTCATTTGGTCCTAGTTATCAGGTGGACACTCCCAAGTTCAGTCTAGCGTCGTTCAAAGGTCGTCCATAAATCATAATCCCACCATACCGGTTAATAATGAATAATTGAAATAATTAACCACTAGATCGATATGCTTATCTAACTTAATTAAAGGATATATTCTAGTCAAATTGGACCTTTTTATCATTGTTAAATGATGAAGAAAAATTTTTTTCAATCTGTTTTATCTATAGTTTACGAAATTAAGAAACCCTACACAAGGAATTATCAAGTTTTTGGTAAGTGACTGGCGCATTAAATAACATCTAAGGACAATAAAATATATGCCCATAAGAATTAATAAGCCTTCAGTGTTATACCAAAATAAGGAAAAAGGGTAATAACCTATAATGAATGATTACATATAAAGTTAACAAATTCGAAACACATGAATTTTGAAAAGAAATTCTCACTTTTGTTTATGTAGTGCATTGGATTCCGATTACTAAAATGATTAAGAAGACATCTGATCATTATCAATAGTGTTACTGCTAAGGTGATCTCACGTTATCAATCAATTTTTGTTATATTAATTCTAGTCTTACTAGTAATGGTAACGAAGAGTATCTTTTTACTAAATGAATATTTCACATATGACCTTTGGCCTTTTATTATTAGCTGTCTCTGTTTTTAGCTGTTGGTTACTTTCGTTATTTCATGCAATATAAAAAATGATGTTGATACATTTAGTTAACATAACTATTTCAAAAGAATTTTCTAGTATTTACGTGTAAACCATCATTAATCAAGTACGTTTATATATTAGTCGCTTGATCTATCTAGTTCATGTACATCTCACATTATACAAGAAGAATATCATAATCGTTCTGTTAAAAAAAATCACAAGATCTATTGGTTTTCGCTAATAATCTTAGATTCTTACTACAAGCAGTAAACTTCAGTATGCTTGAAGGTCATGCTTTCATTATTGACTACACTGAGTTGTAACATAATTTTTGTATTTTTGAATAGTAATGTGTTCCAAAACTTTTTCCCTATTAGCGGTTAATTACTGTATGCCATCTACCGTTATCAACAATTTTAGATGCATATACCAAGGAACAACGTAGAAATTGTGTCTACAATAGGACCGTTTATGTGAAATTAGATCACTTGTTCATTAGTTCATACGTATCATACAACATAAAACCCCAAATATTATCATTATTATCAGAAGGGGTTTTGTGGAAATCTTAGTAATTTCAGTAGTTGAAATCATGAGTTAATTGAAGCTAGACCACCATGGAAAACATGGAAGCACTGGACGGCCGTTTCATCCTAGTATGGCACTCCTCAGCAGTGAGCATCCACTGATAGGTCCTTGGTCCGAATCTCTCAGGGGGCGGGATCGTGGGTGGAATAAAGAAGTTAACGTTATTGAATGAACACGTACACCGTGAACACAAGTAAACAGTTAGCAATAAAATTATAGATTTTTGATTAGCGAATAAATTATATATAAAACTTACATTATATAATATAAGGCTATCACGAATTACATCATCTTCTAAGTTAAGATAAAATCGGTCTTTCGATCCTAAAACAGACGCGAATACGTCAATCAGTTAAACAATAGAATGAAAATAATATTCTTCAATTAGCCAAATTTACGTTATTTTTCTTGCCTAAATAACATCACTACAAGATAAAACATCACGCATAATTTAAACTCTAACTATAAAGCATATAGACTAATAGGAACTACTTACTACTAGTCAAAAACTTCGTAAAATTATGTCTCTCATATCTAATAATATTGTGCTTACACATCTACCACCCTAAATATTTCATCCAACTCAGTCAATTCTGTTTTAGAACTTTTACGCTAAAATCATAGATATAACAGAATAAGTGTTAGTAGTTTGATCTGAGTCAAACTATCGAATACCTCATATATCACTAACTGAGTAGCTAACCTGGACGAATAAAAGTTAAACGATCTTATTAACCGTTGAACAATAATTCTTTTTCAATTCTGAGATTATCTGAGCTGCCAGTTTATCGAGAAAATGCATGTACAAACAAATAAGGTAATTAACATACTTAAAACTTATACTCACAACACTTTAACGAAATTACCGTGCAAACGAACTCACTGAGGATCAATTGATAAATTCAAAACCATGAAAATAACTACTGATTAAGAGATGTCAAGATATCCTAAATTTTATCAGTTAACTTCTAACATGACTATCGCTACTAAACACTGTGAGTCAGCCGAAAAAACGAAATGGAAAAATATTAGTTCTTAAGAAGTTACAACCATAAATAGCTTAATTCTGTCAACCGATATACAACAAACATTAATCAGATTGATTTTAGTCTTCTGACATCTTTGTTAAGTTCTCTCTACCGTCATCAGAAAATTTATGGATACATACACTGTTATGTGACAGCATGTATCTCAATTTTATAACAAAAAATTGAATGAACAATTAGAGTAGCTTAAATTAATCAGCATAACTTACCAGGAGGAGTCATTGATAATAGGTAGTTTGCTACATTATTTGAAAATAAAGTTGATGCTTGACCTGGTAATCGACTGGGTAGATCAGTATAACCAATATGAGCAACATTATGATGATATGTTAATTTGCCTGGTACTGTTGTTTCTACATTTCCTCCAGACTCTGAAGCCAAGTCGACAATAACTGACCCCGGACGCATGGATTCTACCATATCCTAAAAAATAAATAAAAGCTGTTTTGTAGAAAGATAAATATAAAAACCAATTAGCCTATTGAGTTCAATCCAAGTTAGGAAAAGAGTGAACAAAATAAAGTCTCCAAATTTCAAGTAGTAACAGCACCGTTAACTATATTTAGTAGTAGGAAATAGGCACTATGAAAAACCATTCATGGACACTGAATAAAAAAAAGTACTCATAGACATCGACAAATCTTTCTAGGTACTTTCCTTTCTGATGACTGACTCCAAAACATATGTGAAGTGGATGTTAGTGAAAAACACTTACCTTAGTTATAAGTTTTGGCGCTGGTTTTCCTGGGATTAAAGCACTGGTAATAATGATGTCTACTTCTTTGGCTTGTTTTGCGAATAATTCCATTTCTGCTTCAAGATATTTTTGAGACATTTCTTTAGCATATCCACCCCCTCCTTCCCCGGACTCCTGAGTAAAGTATTTGGAAAAAAGATACATAGACTGTACTTCATACATGAAGATACTACTGACTAATAAAATAATAACAATGTCTCTAGTTAAAGTAAACAATGAAACGATCTACTTTAATAACATAAACAAGAAAGAGTGATCATCATTACTCAATAGACCATATATTATGTATGTCCAGTCCTCCTTTATTGCTGATCATAAACTATCGACCGATAAGAATTATTAGGAACAATGCTGAATGGACGACATCGGTCACTACTCAATGATCAATCAGTAGTAAATAAATCTCAGTTTCATAGATGGTCAATCGTGGCCTGGGTAGTCCCGTGATAGCTTTCCTGACTATAAAACTGGTTTACAAGGATTCGAATCTGCCAGGAAGCATCAGCTCCATCAAGACTACCAGTACACCTTGCTGACAAGAGCTGAATAGCACGGGACGTAGGTCTAGTGTCTCCAGTCGACTACCTTCAGTCACCCTCTTTGACCATGCCGTCATCGACTATAGGTCTGAGCTATATTGGTAGGTACAGACCAGCTGTCTGGTTGAGGTCAGCGCAAAAAACACAGTCAGTGACTGGAGACGTTGGACTATATGGGTCAGAATCATTCATAATGATAAAGGTGCATACATCTTTTTTTTTACCTCAGATTCTGAATTCTTGTATTTCCCCTTACATACCTTTTCTTTCAGTCTTTACGAACCATAATCTCAATGCTTAGTCTCTCTCACTATTATTATTATATATTATTTCAACAGTACTTTTAACTACTTATTATCCTAATGCCATCTGGTTGAACTAACTTGGCACGGTATCTTGGCCTAATGGATATTTGTCCTAAGTTCCATGTAACTTTTTAACTGACTACCTATCAATATTATTCATGAAAGCTAAATTCCATTAGTTAAATATAATGGGAATTTACGAACTAAATCTTTTAATTCAGTTACTAAGAATTTTGTTGTGTTGAGAAATTTCTAGTGATTTACTAATGAGAGACGTAAGTAGCGAAAATTTGACTTAAACTGTAATTCGTAAATTTCATGTATTTTTTTTCTGTATGGATTATTCATAAAAGTGAATTACATTTGAACTGTTCATGAAATTATCTGAAAGATAAATTCTCAAATTCTGAATGTTTAATTTCGTTACCATCAGGAAGATTATTTCTATGAACAAATTAAAATATCATCGAAAAGTATACATGTAGTATACATTTCAAACCAATATGAAAATATACCTTTAATCGTATAGTATTCAACCTTTATAATACTGGTCATATTTAGGCATGATAAATGTTTCCATTACAAGTAACAGTTACTACTGATTATTAAATTGAACTCCATACAAAAATTGATAGATGATGATGGTTTAAAGGTTTTAATATCTTCATTTTATGCAAATATCGATTGATAAAAATTAGCAAAGTAAAGTACTATCCCTCTCTATCACTCTTTCTATATGTTCTAACTTAATAAGAAAACTGTCAAAAAACCTAGACAATATAGACTTGATAAACATTTTAACCCATGTCTGGGTCAAATTAAAACGATTTATTATTAATATAAGATTCATATCAATACGTTTTAATGGTTTACAGCTTACTTGTATATTTACAGTTAAAAATTCTGCACCAAATGATTCAACTTGTTCACGAACTGCTTCACGTGTATCAAAAGCTCGTACAATAGCACCAAGACTTTTTGCTGTACTAACAGCTGATAAACCTGCTACACCGCCCCCAATAACTAATACTTTTGCAGGTGGAATTCTACCAGCAGCTGTAATCTGACCTGTAATCCAACATATATAAGATTATCATGACATTTCGAGTAATAAATCAATATAATTAGTCGTTTTTGTACTAAAATCTACCACTACATATTTAGATAAATGGTTTTATTTAATTCTGAGGTAGTTTTGATCAAGATTTTAGTCTGCCAAATCAACCACGTCAGAAGTCGGGAAGACGTTCATTAACGATACCATACAACTGCATTATATAATGAAGTTGAAAGCTATAAACCAATGAGAACGAACTAGCGCATTATATGAAACCACGTTTATTGTGAGACCTGAAATATATCTGTCGTTGTTCTGATGCATTCATGAGCTATGCTAACATTTAGCAAATCCAACTTCAATACAGTGAAATCGACTACCTCTAGCCTCTTCTTCTAGACACCGTTAACCAGACTAAGAAGAACAATTTGGTAATGGAAGCTCTATTTTTAACGGCCCCAGTGTAAGTGAAAAAGTAAGGTTAGCCGATTATATACCAATTACAATGATTAGAATCTATATCATTTTAGAAATAAATCGAAAGTGTATAAGAAGAGTTCATATTGGATAATCTAATGTAAATGATTTTTTAGCTCATAAATTGTATTTGGATATTACACATCCCCAACAGATTTATCCTTCAGAACTATCAATGGAAGAACAACATGAACAATGTAAATAAGAGAAAAATGTATCTAACGTTTAGGATGAGAGACCTAGCTGAAAAAGTTTTCATTTGACACTTAGATATTTTAAATAGGAATAAATATCCAGAAAATGAACTACTTCATCTTCGTAATGTACTTACAAGCCGTTTGTTCATCATTTAATAATTATGTTTTTCCTAGAATAATACTGATAGTATGAAAGTAAACAGATCACAGATCGAAAGACTGTCAATTAAGTTCACCTAGATTTTATAACTTAGCCTTTAGAAGGAAATAACTAGAAAACAGAATTCATAATCGGATGAAAAAAGAAGTGTAAATAAATATAATATCATCCATAAAACTATGGATTCAAGAAATACGCCAATTGACACACATCTAATGGTTCCTGAACACCAAGATCGAATGATAACAAGGAGGAATACAAACGGTATGGACGTCAAATGGAGATATTCATAACTTGAAAGATTGTCGTTTGTCATTAAGAAACCAAAACTTCACCAAATTTAATTTCATGGAAAAGTAAATTATGTTTGTGTGGTATACATGTTTATGTAGTATTTCTCTCAACCTTCAGATTTATTCTATTATTAGTGAAAATTTACTTTTTGACCATACGTTTTACTAGTTCACGTAATGCTAGAGTTATTGGAACCTTTGTCACACTCGTCATGTTTAAATATTGATAAAGATTTCGAAATAAAACGTAATGATGATTTTACCTCCTTTGATTTCAATTCTTACATGAATTAATCAAAATGTTTGGAAGTATATTAACGTCTAAAAATCCACTTACATACCGATAACAAATGATCTGAGAATTTATAGTCACGAAATTGTTTCGCGGATTAATTATGGAAGATCTTGGATTTGTTTCTACATAATTTCAACCAATTATTTTCGTAATATTTAATATAAATTAAGATCAAAGACTGCACTATGCGTATAAAAATGTATCTTAAGATTAATTCGCAAACGAGATTGACTGGTATACTTTCGGAGAAACTCAATAGTCAGTTTTGCAGCTTATATACTCCATACATAGAGAACTAAACTGAATAGTTGAAAACGGCTTTATTTCCATTACCGTTAATTAACCGAAAGCAAACTACAAATTAACTGCTATAAACAATTTTCAGGAAAATACTAGCTTCGAAATGATATCGACTTATAAAGTTTTTTTCGAAATATTTCCTTAAACTTGTTGAGCACTAAATGCTGCAAATGAAAACAAGTTTTCTGAAAATGAACTACATACTATGTGGACACGATAGGAATATCATTACTTGGAGACAATAATCTTACCAAATACAATTTTGATAACTAGTATAGAGGTTGTGGAGATTATTAGGCTTTTGATTGAGATCATGAATCAATCTAAGCCAAACCACCAATGACAACCTGAAAGCACTGGACGGCCGTTTCGTTCCAGTATGGAACTCCTCATCAATGTGCATCTACCGTCCCACACTGCTGGGAAGTCCAATACTAGGAAGAAACGGACGTCCAGTAATGCCAAGTTTTCAATGGTGATTTAGCTTAGATCGATACATGAATTCAACCATCAAAATTACTACAATCTCCACAAATCCTTATTCTGATGATAGTTTAAAGGCTTAGACGCTTAGACTTGTAACTCAATCAAAACAACAAACAATTTAATTCATTTTTGTGTTTTAAATAGAGTAAGAACAAATAATAAAGGGAACTATGTGTATGACATTTTTGTGTTGTTTGATTGAATTTTCCAATTGATATTTAGGACTGCAATCGATTCCACTGCTAATCAACCACCATCATCTCAGCTTACAATATTTGTGACTGAAAATAATATTGAGGCGATCCATACAGTATGCACATATGTGGACAAGAGACTGATCAATTGCTGTCCTAATTATCAATGGGAAGATTCGAGCAACCAATACAAAAATGAATTTAACTTCACCCCATTGTACAAGCTAGTGGCCAACTGGAATGAACAGCTCAGTGGATAACGCGATGGCTTCTAAGGCGGACGGTGCTAGGTTCGAGTCTCGGAATGAATATCAACTCTGGATGCAATTAAATTTAGCTAACAAGTCCCAATTAGGACGAAGCGAGCGTCCTTGATTCCACTGCTAGCCACCATCATCTCAAAAAACAACCAATCTTAAAAACCACAAAAGTATGTCAACAATTCACTAGTATTACCTGCGAAAAATCGATTGAACAATCCAGCAGCCTCAATTATACCTTTATACCCAGAGATGTTAGCCATTGAAGATAAGACATCAAATGATTGTGCCCGACTTATCCGTGGTATACAGTCAAGAGCTAACAGATTCACCTTTTTCTTACTTAGTGTTTCAATTAACGACTAGAAAAACAACAAAAGATAGAAATTAAGTGAAAAAAATGAATCAGAAAGCCATAAGTTAACAATTCAAACTATAAAGAATCAGAGTGAAAGTGTATTAATTGTAAATAATTGTCAAACAATTATACTACTATGCATCGAAATTAATTTACATGTAGTTGTTATGGATTTATAGTAAATAAGAGGACAGTTTGTATTGTTTTTCTCATGATAATTTACACTGTTCTCAAAGAAATCTGTTCACTTAATTAAGCACAGTAATACAGTATGCAGAATGTATACAACTATCATAACAATGGCTATTCCCGACCGTTGTTGCTACCTTGACGTGGTGGTCGGGCTTGCCTATCGTGATGAAGCGACCGAGCTATACTGGCTGGAACAACCGGTCCTCAAGGTCCTACCATGTCAGACAGGTCGGTTGAAGAGCGGTAAGACTAAAAGCAACAAACTCAAGGTCCGAAGGCGAAGTCGTACTGCTGACTGTACAGAGGTGTGACAGTAGTAAGGTGTTTCCTTCAGACAACCAGCATGACAGCGATGCTGTCTTCCCACAAGGAGGGGTGGGGTTAGAAAAGGTCGACCCTAAAAATGCACACCTCGCCTTATCCCACGGATATCCGTCTCCGGCGGTAAGGTCTCAATAAGTACGGAGCTAACACAAAAATTACCCATAACAAGGTCGTGTGTGACCGACCTCAAGCAGTTGTCCCATGGGCACTGCGGTCACGCTCTCAGGTCACTAAGACCACCTTTAATCCAATTTCCTTTTCAGGTACCTCCTGACAATGGCTAGTAGGCCAACTCTAACAAACAACGAACTCCAGTCACAAAATAAGCTCGTTTTCTCCAGTCACCATATATATTGGTGCTCTCTTGTACCAATATTCATGTGTGCTTTTTCCCCTCTAACTTTTTTGAAAGGCACCCGTCACACGAAAACATTGGGTGCGACATTCACGGAAGATCATACAAAAACATGAATGTATGAGGCCAGTTTGGCAGGAAGAGCAGACTCTCCTCACCCGACATAACTAAGCCATTTGAGCAAGAAAAGCAACTAATTACAAATAAAAAATTTAGTCTACAACCTGTTGAAATCTTCATCTATCACTTAGCAGTAAACAACGTTGGTTTTAAAAACAGTGCATGCTCGGAAATCCGTATTTGTGCTCATCTACCTTAATTCTAAATTTGACATCTTTTTTTCTTTTTTTGGAAAAAAGCGGGAAAGTGAAGAAACTGGAATGATGAACGTGATAAAGATAGCTTTTGGAGATGATTGAATGCAATAGTTCATAACAAATCACCTTCACTTGACAGCATACAAAACAGACAATTTAATGAAATTTACTTGATTTTTGGCAGGGTAAATCAAACTAATTAAAGTGCTGTTAGGTCTCAGCATACTGACTTCAGCTGATAGGTTAGGAAGTGAGTCCAGCGTAGGTGGTCGTATTTTCAAGATAATGTCACTTTGATTATACAAACTTTCTACACTGTCTGTGACTATTTTAGCCCCAGCCTTTATATAATCCGAATCTAAGAAATTAGAGTTAACACCGGCACCAGTTTGAACGAAAACGTTGAAGCCACATTTTGAAAACAGGTTGGCAGTCTGCAAAGTTGTAATAATAATAATAATAATAATAATAATAGTATTAAAAGATAACCAAAGACGTTAAAAACGGGTGAAACAAATGAATAAGCAGACACTTCTTTTGATAAAAAAAAAGTATCAGGACTTATCTTAGATCCACAAGAATCATGTATTCATGTACAACCTGAATAGAACATAAACATTAGCCCTCGCCCCTTACTGAAGTTGAGAAGGCTAAAGTTTGCATAAAATAAGGTGGAGGTGGTTACAATGGATTAACCAGAGAGATCTGTAAAGATGGTAGACGAGCTTTAGCCGTCACACTGACTAAGATATTAGCTTAGACCTGAAAAGTGGATGTGATCTTTTGTAAGTGGTCTTGATCGCTGGTCATTTGAGTTTATAAGAAAGAACTAAAAGTTTCTTATAACATTTAGAGTCTGATTGACTAACAAAGTGTCTAAAATATCAATAATTTTATGACACTTAATTGGTGCTCATAAACAGAAAATCAGGCTCGATTTAGTCCTGGACGTAGATGAATGATTGTATTTCATGACATTAGGATGGCATTCTATCCTTCTGGTCGACAGATTTCGTGACATTGCCTATCAAAGAGGTACACAGTAGTAGTAAAGGTTTTGTATTGGAAAACTGTTAGTCAAGTTGTAGCTTGTGATGAAAAGTTATTAAAATTACCAACGCTAATATGTGAAATTCTAAGCTAATGATAGCAAAGATAAGCGCGCCGACCACTTCAGTTATCGTAGATGTCTCATCAATCTGAGTTTTTATTTAACAAATCCTCGACATGCATTTAGAGCACTCAGTTAATTTTTGTCAACTTTCAACATTTGTGGCGCAGGAAATATATCTGTTTGCCGACCAAGAGGTAAGTATTTTTTCCAGCAGTTTGTTATTTGCTACGTTGTTTGGGGAAGATAGTTTTTGAAAATGGAACATACTTTCGGATTAATAATATTTGGACATAAATTCCTTTCGACCATTGCCCACGAATGAAGAAACTATCAAGTAAGAAATTCTGAGGTTGAACGAAGAACATTAGGTAGTGACAGGAAATTAGCTGATGAGGTAACGAATTCTCACCAACTTAAATGATTGAGACGTGTATTTTTTATACCCAACCATCACCTACTACGACACGGCACCAGTACATGAAGCCACTAACTGTCTGATCGGGAAGTGTTGACACATGATTGCTCAGTTGGAGTTGATGTCATTGTGATGATTACTTGTTAGGGAAATTGAGTGAGATGGGTTAGATCCAGCTGCAAATACGTAAAAACATTCATCCATTTTTTCCATTGAGACCTTTGGTCTTTCGTTGAGATGAACGTTACAGCATGTTTTTATACATATGATATAACCTAAAAATATTTGTCATAAATATGTTTTTTATACCCCAGTGAGTAAAAAATTGTATTTCTAGCGTTTTGTGACTTGGTGCAAGCCTTTTCTTCAGAGTAAATGAAAAATATTCTGTTTGATCTCATGAGCATATTATACTGCTTATACGTTTTCATAACAACATACAATTAAATTGATTGGTGCATTGTCGAACCATATTTTGATCACGATTTTTGAGCATAACAGGGTGTGAAAAGATGGCTTAAAGTGTAAGATATGTGAAATGTATAATCTGAGTGAATTACCTGAAAGGCTGAACGTAAATCTACCTAATAATATTTACGACTTGATGCATATCTGTGGCTTTTGTATGAACTAATGATTCCTCTGTACTTGATGTCTGTCTGATTTTGAATTCTAAATACAATACCTTCATCTGTGCTCACCTAGTTTTATTTGCTGTAAATTACACTATTTCGGGAATTCGTAGTTCGTATTATAAGTCGAATACTTACAAACTACACATTGGCATCGCGATGAAGCCTGTTATGGAACAGTTGGGCGTACATTCAAACTGTGATGCTTTTGACGACTAAATAGAAAAGTTCAAAATCTAGGCAATAACTAAGGAAGATGTCGAGGATTCTAATATTGTGGCTCATTTCCTTATTTTCATCGGAAAAGAAGCCTATAGTTAATTAAAAACTGGCATTTCTGGAAAAGCCTACTCCACTTTCTTATGCAACTCTCAAGGAACTACTACTAGACCATGTATAAGGTACAAATTCCGAACGCTGTAAAGGAAAACAATTTCATAAAATGATTCGTCAAGACATCAATAAAACAATTACATTACTACGTCATCACAATCCAATGCGTGCTCAATGTTATGCAGATAATGATTCATTGAAGAGTTGCGAAGCAGGTCACGAAAATGAGCACAAGTTTTGTAAATTTTTGTACTGTAGCAAATTTACTCATGTAATTTGTGTGCATCACGTAATGCCAAATGTTCTAAATGTGGTAAAATTGGGCACTTACAGGCAGTTTGTAGAACTACTCTTTATTTCGCTGTAAGTAGTGCCAAACTTTGTAATTATGATCCTAATTAGTTGAACGTTTCAAATGAACCATACTCTGATCAGATTAATGGTAATATTTTACCAGATATGTGTTATTTTAATAACTCATGTATTTCTAATGAAATCATTTACAGGTATGTAAAGGATATATCGAGTGCACTAAATCCTGATAAAAATTCTAATGTTATTTAATCAGATGTGGTTTGTTCCATTTGTTTGTAATGAAATCATAATCAAATGCGAGGAAAGAGTTCTAAATGAGTTAAAATCTGGTTACAGTCCTTATAGTGTCGTATCAGATGTTATTTGTTTTCACAATGCATTTATCTCTGATAATATCCCTAATGAATGTGACAAATGTGTCTCGAATGAGTCGAATTCTAATCACACTGCTGATGTTATTGTATCAGATGTTGGATATTCTCACAAACAATGTCTGTTGAATAGAATCCTTAGTCACTGGTACGATGAATCAGAGGGAATAGAAAATTTTCACGAAGCAGTTGGAGCACTAGTTTGCCCAGATATGAAGTTTGCACAAGTAGGAACTTCAGGTATAGTCCAAGATTATGTTAATGAGTATGAGGCAGATGCCTATTTTCTTCCTTTGCACTTCCTACTTTGTGTCTGCCTGGTTTTTAGTTCTAAACACAATACCTTCATTTGTGCTAACCTAGTTCTATTTGTTGTAAATTGCAGTATTTCGGGAATTCCTAGTTTGTAGCTGGTTTTCTTTACGAGTTTGAATGAAGTTGGAGCTACAATTGAGGTATGATGATATAAATTTATGTTTTATGGTTTTTCACCAGCTGCTTACAACCATATATGTCTAAGAATTGAGACGAAAAGATCATTAATAATCATATATTTGTTTATATTTACGTGTGCACAAGCACGTGTGCATTCATTTGGATATGGAATTCGCTTGGAAAAGGATCTTAAAATTATGTAATCTCTTCAGAACTTTGATAAGCACACGACCCTCTAATTTTTTTGGGATTTTATTTATTTATTGCATAACACCCCCTATCGATGGTCTTAAATATCAGCACAAAATGATTTACACCTGTTCATGCGTATAAATATAATCATTGTCGATGTTCATTGGCATCAAAACTGTTTGATGCATGCGGCTGATGAAAAACCACAACATATAATTACACTATATCATTTTTGCTTCAACGGTTGTCTAGACTTTATTCAAAATGTAACTTTAGGGTTACACTAACAAGAATAATTATAATCAAAACGTTGTAAAAGTTTGTAACGTAACAGACCTACTTGGGGGGTAATTGAAACGCGCTTTTCATCTATGAAAGATTCTTTGGGGATCCCAATACGCAAAGTATTAAAAGCAACACCAAGCTGAGATGATTCCGGCCTTGTAGTGTATAGGCGATGTAACAAGCTGACTGACTTCAAGTGAACCAATCGATGACTTTGGATGGTCGTAGGGGAATGTAAAACGAAAAAGACAGCAGCCATGTATAAATAACTTCAGAGAGAATAGAAGGACGAAAAGCTATACGAAAACCATACTCACGCCAACAATACTTCGATGTCCAATGCCTCGGTATAGTATCCAGTATGTTTGTTAACAACTTTGATTTTTTCTAGCAATGATGTAAATAAAAATGGTAATAAATATTGAGAAAGATTCAAATTCAATTTGAGTATGCGACACTAGAGAGATGGTTTGTAATGACTCATCCATCCTAGCATTTAAATCCCGGACGATGAAAGGCAGTGTGATTTCTAGTAATCGTCTATTATTCACTCGAAGCAGCGAGTATTATAAACTGTGGTTGAAGAGGCCACAAAAAGATTTCAGGCAGGGTATGTACGGCGGGAACTGAAAATAAGGTAGTTGGAAATTTCAATTTTTTCACTATTATTTTTTCATACTGATCCCTAAGATGTAAGATAATTAATAAAACAAACGTTTTCTGTTTTGCCGTGTGAAGTTACTGTGAAATAACACAAACATGTTAAATTTTTTATTCACGTTTTCGCTTTTGACGTTGCAGATTCCATAGTCATTGTGACGGTGCAAAGCAGAAGGACAGGATATTACAAGTCTGAGCAATTGCTTCATTTATATTTTCATTACGCTTTAGACTCCTGGAATGACTGTCTGTTAACAAACTTCTGTTGGGCCTGGTTGTCAGTCATTTTGGTGCTACTGCTAAAAATAAGGTCCCCAATCAGTCATCCAGGTAGTATCACACATAGAGAAGGGAAGTGGTAAAATCATAGCTCCCAAAACTCTAAAGACGGGTTACAAAAAGATAGGCGAAACTCTCTGATCCTAGTTTTTGTTGGAGTGAAGCTTAAATGAGAATAAGCCAGTCTTTGATTGAGTACAGTGGGACAAATACTTTACAATTCTGGGAAATGTATAACTTCATTAAAACTGTTTCGGCCGTATAAGGATCAAAAAGTAGGGTTAAAGTTAACCTTAGCATACGGTGCATATGTAGTCACAATGAAATCTCAGAGGTCATTGTTCAAGCAGTCCGCCCAAATCTGAGTTAGACTCGATGAACCGTGGGCCGTAAGAGACACCGTTAGGAGACAAAAAAAAGAACAGACCAGAACGATGATTTACAGTGTCTAGGCCAGTAAGTGGTAGTCGGACTGAAGCTTAAAAGCACTATAAGTGACGGTGGCGTAGGCTTGTAGTGGCATTGGTTTCTAAACACAGTGTTCTCGAAGTTGAACTTATAGTTACCGAGATTGACATTCATCACACAAAACGTAGGGGAGGTGGGTAATGATGAACACTGAGATAATTGATATGCATGGTATGGCTTGGTCGTTCTTGTGTATCCCATACCACTCCACACGAAATATAATGTTCTATCCTCAGCCAAAATGTGTTCATCCTAAGTGCTAAACGTCATACTGTTAATTAATATGATACAATAAGACAGTGTATACTATGATGTGATTTCCACATAAGATCATATAGATTACTTATGTACGTCAAAACAGGTCTACAGTTTAGAGGTCAAGTCTGCTATTAGGTAGCGCTGATATCAAACGACCGAAATTCTACAGGATATCGCGAAGCACAGGACTCATCACCACTACAACAATGAACGTATCAAGGGCAACGATAAACCTCGCGACATTTACACTTCAGTGTCTGATGGCTGTGAACTTGAGAGACAAAAGAGACCTCGCTGAGGACATCCAGGCTGGGTGCAGCCAAAAAGTGACTTCCCGGGCAACACTATATATTGTTACCGTCAACCTAAATCGGTGACATTATTTCGGACAGGCCCAACCAGACACACATTGGTATCTGTTGACCTTGATCGGCAACCCACCGTGAGGAACACGGAAACCCCAGTCTCACCATCGGATCACCCACTAAGGCACTCACTTGATTTGCGAGTTGGCCATCCTGACTTCAGTCTTTGAAGGGGGAGGTCGAAAAATTCAAGCCTGCCACTGACCAGTCGGTTATTAGAGCAGTACTAATATCATAGTGGACCATAATTATAAAAACCCACCGTCTTCAAAAGAGACGTGAATCACTTAGATTAAGCAAAAACGGGGACAGAGCTACAACATAAATCTCATGTGGATAGATCCCATCATCTGCGATTATCGTCGCTGAGTTTCGGGATATTTAGAGGTGATCTGAGAATGGCACTTCAAGACAGTTCTCGAAAGACTGCACATCAAAGAGCAAACAGTCATTCACACTCTCACATTTTCCCAGCAAACGTTGACCCAATTTAATGGACCACAGCCCCTTTAGCGTAGGGCTTAGAGACGAGACTTTACAGAAACGTACTAACCCATGGATTGATACCTCCCTCTTGAACTGGTCGTATCTGATCCATGTCTCATAATTTACCACGGTTATAATTATCACATATTCAGTAACTAATTATTATCTGTCTGATCATAGACCCTATTCTTACCCTTATTCTTCGACTCTGTTTACTTATACATCATCAATCAATTATTTTATTTATTTATAATTGGAACAACTGTCTTCTCTCACCACTCGAGTTATTACTCCGATATTTTCCCATTACAATCACACAACCTTCTGTCAGGTAATGTGATAGCCACAGTTGTACTAAAAAAAATCAGACAATAAAAGAAGTAGTTATTAGTTTTTCTTAATTTTTCACTCTATTGTTGCACTTTCCGTTCTAGTAAATGGCATTATTTATTATAACATTGGCTTCCCTTCCACCATTTGAACCAAATCCATGTTCTTGAATATCACAACTCGTCGTCCTATATCACAGCATTCTCTCATCTGGAGGCTCATAACACATTTTAGTCTAGCAACAAGAGCGAGTACGAGTTTAACCTACTAACTTATCGTACACCTGTCCGTTCCGCTACAGAGTAATAAGCGTTGTTCAGCGCTCATATACAAGTGCCTTGTGGTTTCCTTGCTTCTTTTTTTTCAGCATCATGGTTTGAGTGCACAGCTATGGAGCAACCATGACATTGACGCCTTCTCAAGGTTATAGCTTACATGAAACACTCTACAAAGCTACTTCATAACAAGTGTAAATTCAAAAATTTGTGCTTAGCACAACCAGAATGTTTACATTATTAAACCGAGTTTGAATCTGATTTGAAAAGTGGACGCAATGCGACTTCGGAAAAAGTATTTTAGAAACTGCACCCAGTGCAATAATTATGCATAAATCTAATCACTTATGCTCTGGGACATCGGTATTGTCTTATACTTTTATTGATTCCATATATTTAACGACCCTAATTGGGAAGCAAGCTAATGTTGGAACATATAGATTATACCCGTAAAAATGGAGTGTACCTGCCTTAAAACGAATATTATCCAGAAATTCTACTGCTATAAGACTAATGCGCTCACTCAACCATGATATATTCAAGTCCGCAGTGAGCTAACAAGTGAAGTAGAATTAGTACACTTAAATGACCAAACAACCGCTTATTTGGCATATTCAAACATCTGGAACTTTGTGAAACAACAGGAAGCAAGCGTTGAAAAATCTATTGGTTTGTAGACGATCATGACAAAGACACTGGATAATGTGAACTAGAAGGATTTGGCATGTTAGTCAAGTGCACTCTCCTGCGAAATCATAAGCATGTAGGTAGACATCCTAACTACATTTGATTAACTGTTACTTGGGGACAATAAATGTTTATTTGATTCCAGTTAAAAGTGCCGGAGCGTTCGCGCTGCATTCAGCATTTCTTTACCGACAAGACTGTTGGTGTTCTTCAGAAAGAGAGAGAAATATTGACTGAGTTTCAGAAGCCAAAGGTAAGGTTACTTTTGACACCAGACTTAAGTCTCAAAAGCCACGGTCGGTATATGCGGCAGCATAACAGAAATCAGCGAACTCGAAAATTCTGGATGAACCCTAGCTCAAGGCTGTCGGTCACGCATCCAACCCAATTAAGAATTGGGTATGACGAGTTACTCAGCTCTCGCACCGACAAGTTGGCCTGGATAGAATGCTTTTCAACACATCAACAAACTTCCAAATACATATCCGGACATTTTTATTCCCGAAATGGGACAATATATTTTTTAATTATCAAGTTGTCACGAACGAAATAGTTGTCCATCCCTACAAATCCTTGTCATATATAAGCTTTTGTACTTTTATGAATTTTTCTCACTAAGAACACGTAAACATGAATAATTTTACTCGCTATTCAATGAAAATTGTTGATGACATTTCATCTTGATCTTAATTTAATACAGTGGACTTCGAAGTATTTTGTTTTAATATACCAATTATGCATTCTTTTTGAACACATAATTTAAAAAGAAGGTTATTTGTTACTGTGCCTTTGGGTGAGGCAATCGTCTTCAGATAAAATTGGATGATTGAATATGAAGTACTATTTAAGGGTGAGTGTGATCAAACGTATTTTATTACACCCGTCGCTCAATATCTAAAGATCGAGTCAGGCAAGTTGTTAATGTTTTGAGTATGTTTGGTACAAACGGAGACGCGTGTCTATGTTTAAGCAAAAACTTACTTTCATGGCACATTTTAAGCAGAATAAATTGATTTAAATCGTCTAATGACTTCATATGTTTTTCATGTTGCCAGAGTAGTAAAAAGGTTTCCTTAGCTTGTCAAACGCGCTTCACGTAAACGCTTTTACGTCGTGACTCATCATAAGTGTTAATATTTTCTCATTTGTGAGGATGATGCTTTTATATGACTACTTTTTTATCATTGAACTACCTTTTTAGCTGGAAATTATCCATTTGTTTGAACTATTAACCGATGACTATAGAACTACATGTTCGGATAGGCTGCTTCGTTCGCTTGAACATTTATATCATAATTATTTAAGGTTGACGTTATCAAACAAAGAAAGCGGTTCTTTGAAACCGAAATCCGTACCACCAGCTACATCTTGAAAGGAAGGACGCCTTATCATAAAGCTGAATTACCCATGTTCATCATCCCGTCTGATAATATTTATAATTGACTTAGAAATGTAACAAAATTCTTCCGTAGATGTTGTTGAATTCGTATCCATTCTTATCGTATTCAGGATCTGATGCAACTCCCTAACAAATTGACACATGGCAGACTTTACTGTCAATCAGTAGTTAATGACCGAGATTATTTCTACTTTCGGCTGCTTTATTTACTTTATTGTCACGCTTGCTAAACCTGTAATGTAATATGTGTAGGTTCTCACTTCTTCGTGTCAATTTGCTTCTTTTGAAAATTTTAACTATATTATTACACAAATGATTTTCTCTTGTTGTCTCTGACTTTATATCAAGTTCCTAGACATACTACGTTTTTGTAACAGCTGCGAAAGAGAGATGCGACTTTCTCTAATATCAGTGTGACATGCATAAGCTTCGGGCGCGGTTGAGGTATTCACAGTTCTTAGCAACATAGGCGTTCTTGGCCTGAATATAATGAAGCGCTATTTGAAATATATTCATTTGGTTATTAGAAATATGCGATTCAGTTAACTTTTGACCACGACTTCTTTGTTTAGAAGGCTCTGGTTTTTATCTTCTCTATATTCCAGTTAGTGAGACGAAACGTAAAATAAAAACTTGTAGATGACTTAATGCCTCTTAAGTAAGACTGTGAATAATGCATGAACCAATAGGCAAACCTTCTCTATTTTTCTTACAATAGAATACCTCTAATATGTGTCTGTTTCATTGGCAATGAAATTATTAGTATCTTTCGGTTCAGGGATTGCTGTTTCCGGATTGCTAGCAAATAGACATATGTTAAAGCATCTGTTAGACCCTTCAACGTGATTGAAGATAACCATCTTAAGGCGCATTAGTTGTGTTGATAGTTTTATCTTTGATTATCCCCTGTACTGATTAGCGTTTCATTCTCCCCACTTTATTCTAGAATGTCCAACCTAAGACTAACATCCATTTCAACAGTACTGTTAATGATTCCACAATCTGACAACAAAGTTTTCAAATTTGCAAACCTTATTTTATTCTTCAAAGACGTTTTAATGAGATATGTATTAGGATGGTCTCGTGTCTTAAAAACGACATTATTGCACACCAAATTTTTTTCTTCAGTTAGCAAGCTGAACCTTGACTTTTTGTACAGTAAGTCTTGTGTTGGTATACAATTTTAGTAGCCTTTACCATAGTAATTGCATCAAATGCTCACTTCTAAAATCATTGTATGAAATCAGTAAAAGTGAGACATTGCCGTAAAGCGCTTAAATCTTGGTAAACGGTTTCGAGAAATTATCTTGTACCTCAAGTGATCAAAGCTTAATTCAAATAAGGTACACAAAAAACAACACCCAAAAAGAATCGTGTGGTTGCTTTACTACCGAAAACTTTCGAAAACGATTTCATCTAAAGTCTACTAAACAAGCTGTTGGTGTGATAAATAGGATAAAGCAAAGTGAGATTCAGGTAGTACGGAATTATTTCTTTTTTTTAAGTTATCACTTAATAACTACACTTTTCATAATTGATATTTTCGTAATTGACCATGAGTAGTCGTCTAGTTTTCTTAGAGCCGGTAACAGTATTGTATATAATGCATGATATCGGGATTCTCGGATCTATACAGTACGTGCTCTAGTCGTTACGGATAAAGAAACTTTTGAAGAGAGATCATGAAATCAAAGATAGATAGTGCATTGCACTTATCAGTAGGGTGTGCAATTATTTAAAATACAGTTATTGTTTCATAGAAACGCCAGACTTCTCCTGCTTCTTTTTCGATTCATTAAAAAACATTGAATAACTTCTAAACTTACTCTCTAATTATCTTGCAGCAATACAATAAAATGTCCAACTGTTCCGCAAGTCTCAGATATTTGTTATTTAAAACTGTTAGACAGAAGAACAATATGTTAAAACTATCGTTAAACTGAGTTAACTTACTTAAAACGATTTTGTGTGTAGATAAACTTTAAAGATTACTTCTTGGGTTTTATCGTAACTAAATAACGTTTATTTGGCGCTACTCAATATTCAGAATCTTGACGGATTTGAATCGATCGGTTGTTTTATTGTTCCCTAGTTCTATGTTTTCACCAAACAAAGCTTGCGAACTCGTACTTTGTTGAGTCCTCCCAACAGAACTTGAAAGTTTGGTGCATCACACTGATGGATAGAAGCAAAAAGAGGAGTTTATAATCAGGGATGGATGGTGGCTAGCAGTGGAATACATAACACGCATTTCTTCCTATTTCAGACACGTTGGTTAGATGTACCTGCATATCAGAGTTGATATTCACGCCGGAACTCGATTTTGCCGTTAGTCACAAGCCTTATAAGCAGTGATTGATAGTGATTAGCAGTAAACAGATCAATTAAAATCCTAAACGTCAATGCGAAGATTCAAAAAACCATTACGAAAAATAAATAAACAGGGAAGCTTGTAATGAAACATTCTAGTAACTAGTATTCAATATATATCAACCTTATAAACGTTTTCATTTATTAAACACTTACTGAAAACTTCCGCATATATAAATATGTATATATATATATACAGTCCTTAGGGTAAATTTTGAATTACAAAACGGCTATTTTATCCTAATCTGCCTTGAAAAGTACTGACGTTTGATTATGTAGTTATCGTTTATGAAATTACTGTTATTCATTTTCTTGTCTTCAAAATGTTATCGCCTTTATTGAATAGGGTCGATTTGACTTAAACGTTTCTATGGTTGAAATAAAGTGTATATATATGTACATCCTTGTGGTTTAATAAATACTAGCCTTTTGTTTAAATATTTACGAAAGAAATATTTTTTATCCACATTCTAACTGAGGAATTGACGTTATAAACATTAACGTGATTTATTTAGCGATTGTTTCTGTAATATATATATATATATATATATATATATATATATATATATATATATATATATATATATATATATATATATATACTTGTCGCTATAGACAGCCACCCAGATTTAGCCATTGAAAGCTAACTTCCTATTTATTTATCTTTTTACTATCACAAACATAGCTGTTACTTTCGAAATACTATGGAGTTATAGTTTTAAAAGTGCTTGTTAAAAAATGAAATCATTCACATGATTTCATCTGTATAGGATGATTTCCGTACGTATAGAGTGTTACACAAGGTCATTCGTTTATTGTTACAATGCAAATGATGATTGGTAGATAAAGTATATCTGCATAAATTGTCCAGTATTAAGAACGGCGTGAACAATGTAGGCATTGATAATATTAAATCTAGTTAACTTTCATTTTCTATCCTTTTGTCATTTAGATAATTTTTTATTTTTATTTTCAACCTAGAAAAACCGTAATTGTAATTGTCTTTAGAAATCAAATCCTGTTGTTTTTTCAGTTTGAAAAATGTTTAATTTATATAAATAAAAATGGTCAGTTTTGTAGCACCATTGAAAGTGTTTTCTCACCATGTGTAAAACAGATTACAAGTCAGGGCCTGCCTCATGATGCAGTTTACTGATTTCCGCAAGCTAGTTTTTTCTCTGTCACAGTAGGTTGTTGCTGATAGTGTCTAGCCTACGGACACTGAGCATCTTGAGTAGTCAATTGTTTTTAAATACCTGTGGCTGCCTCTACAAAAATGTAATTATATATAAATTAAGTAAGATTGAGTACATTAAATTTTTGCATTAAATCTATTGATTTATATTTTGAACTTATTTAATGAAGGTCCGAGGCTCAGCTTTGAATGTGTCTAGTGGTATATGTTGTTGAATATTTTTTTACGATTAAATTGTCACGGTTCGATTTATATTAGCTCTTATGAAACTAATCATTTGTTTTTGGTCATCTTAGATCCTCAAATATTAATCTCCTAATATAATAAAGAAACTTTATAACTGTGCACGATTTATCTGGTTTATTAGAAGCATTTACATTAAGGGTAACGATCATCTACAAAACAAACTATGTAAGTAATAATCTAGTGCCCATCATTAACTGGCTTCAAGGAGGGTTTAGTAAGGTTCAAGATGTAATATAAGCCGAGTCACGAATAAGACGGCAAACTGCTAGTGACACTTATTCACATTATATCACTATCTAATTACGTTTGAAACTCAAATAATAGTATTGCGAATCCGTATTTTAATGTTATCACAGCGATATTTCAATGGCGTTGGTCATAACTCGTATAGATTCATAGCTTTTCAATTCTGAGGTGTATCAAATGAGAACGGAACAACTATTGGATGCTATCCGGTTCTTATCACCTTCCATGTAATATCAGTATTTAATGTATATATTGTAACATTTCCAAAAAGAATCTTCACCATTGAAAGGAACTAAAAATAAATCAAGTAAACAATAGGGATTGTTTTTCCCATAATTAACTTGTGATGAAAATCTATTTTTACATTTGTAGCTCTGAAATTTTATAAGTCACA